CCAGCTGACCCTTCTCGTCCAAAAGCTCCATTTGCCTGTTGGGGACAAGTGGCTTGACGAGTACATGGACGAAAGCTCCAAGCTTTGGGAAGCCTGCCATGTCCTCAAGTCTGCCATCTCTGCCATGGAGAATTACTACACGTCTGGCCTCAACATCACCTCCACCCTCGACTCTCATCGCCATCTCACCCCTCAGCTCTCTCGCCAGGTGGGTTTTCAAATTTGATCACAATCTTTAAATTTTTTCCAATCCATATTCTTTTTCGTCATGCACAAGTCGTCTGATTCATTCGCTCAATAATTTCATCAAACAGGTGGTTCGCGCGATTTCTGGGTGTCGGCGAGAGGCGTTTGGATTGGAGGAAGAGAACAGAGCGCTGATGGAGACGAGAATTCAACCACTCTCACTGAAATTCGACGAAAGGGTCTCCATCGAATCGAAGCTTAATGGGTTTAACGGGTTCAGGGGAGTTCTTTATGCAATGAGAAACGTAAGCTCTCTGCTTCTCATGATCTTGCTCTATGGACTGGTCTTCTGTTGGCCAGAGTCAAGCTTCTGCAGGGGAGGCTACGAGGGCTGCTTGATCTTCGGATCATCGTTCATGATATCAACGGCTAGATTGCAGCAAAGGGTAGCAGCAGAGATCAGCCAGATCAATGAAAGGCCTGGGATTTTGATGTGGGACTTCAGGAGGTCCAAGATGGCCATGGATGAGCTGAGAGGTGAATTGGAGAGGAGGGGCCCACAGGGGGTGATGGATTGGGAGAGTGAGGGTGGGATTAGAGAGAGAGTGGACAACTTGAGAGGGTGTTTTGGTGTCTTGAGATCTGGTGCTGAGAATATTATCAGCCAACTTGATGATTTCTTTGATGAAATTGTTGAAGGGAGGAAGAAGCTTTTGGACTTTTGCAGTCATAGGTAGGGAAAAAAAAAGAAGAAGAAAAGAGTGTGAGATAGAAAAACTTGTTGCAAAAAAAAAAATTATTTACAGAGTAGAGAACCAGAGAGGTATTTAGTTGGGTTTTGTTGTACCTTTTTAACCCTTCTTACTTCTGTTTGTAATTTTTTTTTTACTTTTCGTTTTCCCTCGTGTCTTCTCCTTTGTTCTAATAGTTACTAGTTAGTTACTATAGTTGAAACCATGGAGATGGGGAATTTTAATTTAATTTAATTTTTTTAAATTAACCAGAAACCAGTAAAAAAGAAATGCAGTTCTGGGTCTGAGAAGAAGACCAAGTTAAAAACCAAGTTCTAGAACTAGTTTTCATGCAGGTGAAAGTTCTTCTAGTTAGTTCACCCATGATTATAAAAAACACAAGAAGAAAAAGTAAAAGTAAAAAAAGGGTTGTTGGGTGAACAACAAAGACATAAAAAAGAATGGAATGGAAGGTTCTTGTTACAATATCTTTTAGACTTAGGGACACAATCCAATTCCCATTTATGTATTCATTTAAAATTAAAAAAAAAAATCCCATTTATTCATTTTTATTTGTTAGTTAAATTGTGTGTTTCTGTTTTGTATTATTTTTCTTTTGAAAAGATTTTCCCTCTTGTTGGGGTTTTTCATGGACTATAGAGGGGGGGAGGAGGGTTGGTGTTTAGTTGTTATAGTAAATGAGTAATCATTCTTGTTGTGAAAGAATGATGAAAAGGAAGGGCTTAGGAACTGTAGTCTGTAGGGAAGGCACCGTGAGATTCCTGGGTTGCTTTAATCTCAAAAAGCACCTTCTTTTGATCTTAGGAAGCTTTTGTCTGATTCGGTTAACTTTGAAAGCAATGGTGTTGATGATGAAACCTTCACACTACACCACATCCCTCTTCCAAAAACTTCTCCATCACCGACCGACCATTTGTATACAACTATACGTCTATCTCATATTACAAAATTAGTCACATAAGAGAGACACATAATTTATATACAACCAATTACACCTCATACCTCATGAGCACAAATAATTTTCATCTTCTTCCCCCTTCTTTGGGTTTTGGATTTGGGGTCTTTGGAGAAAAAAAAAATATATTATAAAAATAAAGGGGCAGAAAATTTTGGGTCACTTTCTTTGCTTGTTAACCGTATCTCATGCTTTTTGTCCCTTGCCGGAAATTCATGCCCTGCCTCCCTTGAAGGGATCCATAGCAGCGTCCAACATAAGCAAAACCAATAAAATAATGGTGAAAGCGAAGAACTAAAAGACAACAACAGTGATATTATAAAATAAATAAACAAATGCAACAGAAAAAAGGCAAGCATTGCAGAAAACAAGCTCTTTTGGCAGAAGTGCTCACAGTTTTCCCTGACCCAACAAGACATTATCATCCTTAAAGCAGCAAACCGCGGCTCATATTCATAATCACCACCAAACAAAAAACACTCACTATCAATTATGAACCCTTTAAAAGAAGATTTTTTTCCTTCTTTTTAAACACGGAGGAAAAAAAAAAGAGTATCCATAAAAGAAAGTGCAGCACAGAGAGGGTATCATATAAAAATCTGCAGAATGTTCAATAAGATCCGACAAATGTAGTGTACATAGAACAGTAAATGCATGCAATAATAACTAAAGGGTTTGGCATATTGCCAACTAAATGAAATGGCAAAATAGTTAACACAGAAGAAAATGTGGTGTCTAAGAGTGGAATTGACAACCACCCAAATGAAGCCTATCTGGATGACAGATGTGCACAAAAAATAAAAATAAAAGAAAAAGGATACGTAGCTCTGTTCAGTACAGTTCCATGATTATGGCTGTGAGAGAGAGAGAGAGAGAGAGAGAGAGAGAGAGAGAGAGAGAGAGAGAAACCAAACTCAATAAATTTGGTAACACCTTCACAAAGAAGTAGAATATATTCTTTCTATAGTTTTGTACAAAATCACAAGGAAATCACAGGATTTGGCGACATGGACTACTGTGAAAACTGGGCAACATATTTGGTATTCCTCTGTAATTTACAAGAGATAAATTCGAAAACCAGAACATGGGGGCAAAAAATTAAAGCTTTTGTGGCTACCACGAAATCGGGGGTAAGTAATAGAAGCAAAGATAATATGCATGAGAGATGTCACATGTTTAAATATCATATCCTGGCATTGCAAACTGGGATGCAAATGTTTCAACCCGATTTCGGAGGTCAACAATATCCTTATTGTTCTGGAGACCTTTGATAAAATCTTTCTGAAGCTTTCCATATTCCCTCTGAACATTAAAAGTAATCTGAGCAGCCCTAAGAAGAAATTCAGCCATTGTCTCAAAATCAGCCTCCACACAACCTCTTGTAGTCATAGCAGGGGTACCTGCAAAAACAAACAAGAAAAAGAAAGTTTAATACCCATACAACATAAAATAACCAAAGAGAAGCAGATTACTTTATAAAATGCACCATGAGGCATGCAGACTGACTGTATGACAAAGAGACAGAAGGGGAGAAAAACCAAGACAAAAGGCAATTTGGAATAATGATATTTATAAAATCAGAAATTGTTAATCGCGATGTGCCATGTTGATAAAATTCAAGCTAGCAAATGGCATAGCGTACAGCTCTCAGAATATTGACGATCAAGTTTATATGACAAAGACTACTCACCAATTCTCACTCCCCCAGGAGACAAAGCACCATTATCACCAAATATAGCAGTTTTATTGAGAGTGATATCGCACATCTCACATACCTTCTCGTAGTTCCTCCCTATATTATTTATGTTGTGAACAAGAAAGGGGTTAGATAGTGAAGTAAAAAATTAGACATAAAAATAATGTAAGATCATAAGTTTAAGAAACGGAAAGGAAAAAAAGGGGGGCAGGGGAGAAAGAGAAACAATTGTACAATTGAATATGTGCAAATGACTATAAAACTGGAACAGAGAGATAGATGCCCATATGAAAGATGTTTATTGAACCATTGAAAAGATAAGTCCCCCATCTATCATCCACAATTGGGAATAAACTAGCAAAACCTTTGCTCCTGAAGCTATAACGTCTAATAATTGGATTTGAACACAAAATGTGGGGACAAACAAGTCCCCGCAACAATTTAAAAAAATAATGCAGAGTATTATCAAGGATCCTAAAGCAGCAATTGATCAAATGTAACTTCCCTTAATTTTAAAGCAGCCTTGACCACCCTGAGCTTCCAGGTTGGTGTTTCTAACCTGGTAGGACAGTAGAATTTTCCTTTTTTTCTCTTCTAACATTCTCAATGACCAGAGGTTCGCTATTAATGTTTGCAAAGACATTTTCGTTGTTTTAAAAGCTAATCACCTTCTGTTTGGCTTATAAAAGCAATCATGTAATACAAAATGAAATGGTATGTACACCTATAAATTAACTAGATGTGG